CAAGAAAGGGAGGATTCGAGCCACAAGGCGCTTCCCTTTCCGGATGCACATGATCTGCATGAAGTGGTCATCGCTCGGCCTGCCAAGGAGAAACACGCTGAGCCCTCAGCTGGGAGCGTCCAGAAGGGACCTTGCAGCCAGCTCGGCACCAGCATCAGGCAAAAAAACCCCACCTTTGCCTCAAAAACATCCCTGGGGAGGGAAAAAACCACCTGTGACCTCTGCTGGGCGGGTGGACGAGGCTCGGTTCCCCACAGGGAAGCAGGGAAGGAGCCACAGGGACCCTGTGTCCTTCCTCACCCACCTGTGCTGCAAAGGCTACAGGTTGGTTCTAAGTCATGAAGTCAAGGACTGAAAAACCAGCACCCAGAGCTCGGCGCGGGGACAGACACCCAGCGAGGCGCAGACAGGCACCGCTCGCAGCACCCGAGCCGCAGGGGTGGGACTTGCTCCAGGATCGAAACAATCGCTCGGGAAAATGGCAAAAAAAGTTATTTCAGCTCTCAGTTCCCACCGTGCCCCTGGAAAACTCAGCCTCACTCTTCTTTGGGGAATAAAGGTCCCTAAAAAACCAGTTTTGGCAGCTGCAAGCGCGACTCTCTGAGCTCCCAACAGCAAGTAAGCAAGAGACCTCGCTCACCTCTCCTGCCCAGGCGCCTTCCCCCTCAGATTGTCGTACATGTCACAGATCTTCTGCTTCCTCTCCCCCATCAGGGCCGGCCGCTCGCCTTCCAGGCTCAGGAGGTAGCGTCTCTCGTAATCCTCCAGATCCAGGAGGAGGCTGTACGTCTGCGGGAGGCAACAGGACTCAGAGCAGGGGAGCAGCAGCAGGGGTGCAGTTATCCATGATGGGATCCCGCTCTGCGGAGATCCCAGCCCCAAAAGAGCTCCGAGAGTCGCGGCGATTCCCTCTTCCAACTCACCTTCTCGATGGTGACGAGGGTCTGGCGCCTCTTGTCTCGAACCTGTTTCTCTTTCGTCTCCTGTCGGGGAGAGGGGACGGGGAGTCAGGGCGGCTCCCGCGCCGGGTCTGCGCTCCGGCCGCGTCGGAAGGGGAGGAAGGGGCCGAGGACTCACGTCATCTTCGCTGCGGGAGGTCACCACCGCGTCGATCATCTTTCGGGGGTTGTTCACGCTGGAAACCGTGAGCTTGCCCAACGAGCCCTCAAACTGCACTGCAGGAAGGGGCAAGGGTGGGGAGGAGGGAAGCGAAGGGAGTCAGTCCCCACCTCACCCCGCTTTATCTCCGGCCCAAAAACTGGCGCCGTGGCTACCTCCAAAGTGGCACCAGAGACACCCTTCCCTGTCCCAGCCTGGAATAAACCCTTTGCCCAAAGAGGTTTGTGGAGAAAGGAGCGTTTACCTGGCTTGTAGGTGTGCTCCAGTTTCGCCACCTGAGGTGTGATGAGTTTAGTGCGTTCCTTCTTGGGACCATCACCGTGGACTTCCTCCGCTGCAGCTAACTTCTCCAGCTTCTGGAAGTAATTCTGAGGCACGGAGAGGAGAGCTTGAGATCCCCAAGGAAACAGCTGGCAAGGACTGATGCAACATGTCCTTCTCCCCTACCCGTGCTTCGTCGCTTACTGGTCTTCCCAGTAAGCACTGAAGCCACTGCTCTTCCTCCTCTCTAGCATCCCTCGAGACGATAAAGGTCCAGGTTCCTCCTCAGCCCTTTCTCAAGGCGAGCACCGACAAAGCCACTCTCCCTGTGACGTCCCCATCTCCCAGTCCTTCCCAGCACGCTCCTTGCTCCGTTAGCACCCTGCCCAGGCTTGGGGCCTCTCGCAGCGGTGCTCACGCAGCTCTTCCCATCCGCCCCGGGGCCAATGTTCAGCTCCTTTCGCAACGGTGGAGCTGTGTTTCCTCATATGCCCGTCGCAGCCGCACCAGTTCCTCTCCTCTGCTGGGGATCAGCTCACCCACAGCTCCCAAAAGAAAAAAAAAACAACCCACAAACCTCCTCTGTCAGCAAAATGTCTCCTGCAAGCCCCAGAGCAAACAGATCCCGTCGGTCACAGCTCCCATCGGAGGCTGAACATTCGTCC